GAGGCTGTATCATGCTCAAGAGCATAGCCACCAGCAGCTCCACCCACGGATTCCTAGAGGATGCAGCCAACTTCAGGAGAGGACAGAAGCCTGGATGATGGAGCAGCATGCCCGCCTCAGGCCATTGGCAGCCTGCCACAGAAAGCTGGTCCTTACCAAAAAAAGGCTCTCACAGGGCCTCTGGAGCATGGGGCCTAGGAGAAGTGGTACCCAGCTCAGAAGTGACTGCCTAGTTTTCCCAACTTGTAAACTACTTGTAATTTTGTGAGGAACTGACATACTGTTTTTCATAGTGGCTACACCTTTTTACACTCCTACCAACAGTGCACAAGAATTCCAATTTCTCCATATAACAGCCATCTTAATGGGTGTGAGGTGATATCTCACTGTGGTGTTGATTACATTTCCTTACTGATTAGTAATGTCGAGCAGATTTTCACATGCTTGTATCTCCTCTCGTAGTTAAGGAAACTGAGGCTTTGAAAAGTGATGTAACTGCTGAAGTCAGCCAAGTGGCTAGGGGTGGGGTCAGAACTGGCCCTCAAGTCTGACTCCAGAACTTCTTCTTGTGTCACCATCTCTCTGTGGAGAACCACCTCCCCCTACTCACCTACTCAGAGGTGCTTCTCCTCTCCTTCCTCCCAAACACCAGTATCCATTTGTCTTTTATTTTACTCTTCCACCAAAAAAGAAGCAAGGAAGGGAAAGCTTGCTGAGAAAAGCAAACCCTTTTCCTGCATGTGAGTGTGTGATGATGTGCATCCCCAGAGGTGCCCACAGGATCCTTTAGTAGGGCACAACAGGGGGAGCTATGGCCTTGAAGGTGAGCAGCTACCCACCCTTCACACCATGAGGTCAATGACACCAGCGAGGAAGAGAAAAGAGTTCAGACAAGCTTTTAGGGGGGCTGCAGCTAGTGGAGCCAGCTTTAGCTCAAGTTACAGGAATTGAGGTGGAGTGAGCTGATCCCCAGTCTTAGATACCCCAGGACCAGGCTGTGGGAAGGGGGTGGGCACTAGGAGCCCCTGCTAGGGGATCAATGCCAGAGAAGCACAGTCACTTCAGGGTCCAAGGTAGGCCTGGTGGCAATGCTGGGGGATCCAGAGGTGGGTCACAGGCTGAGCCCACTTTCCACAGGTCCTATAGATCCTGTAGGCACCACCCCTGGCTGGCCACCAGTCTCTTGCCAAGGAAACTCCCACAGATTCCTCACTGGTCTTCTTGCTTTTCATAGCAGCTAGAGTAAGCTTCTGCTGAAAACCCAAATCTGGCCATGTTACCCCTTGCTTAGAACCCCTATTATTTCCTCACTGCTCTCAGAATAAAGTCAATTAGTCAACATTTTTACAGTGACCACTGTGAAATGATCTCTGTAGGCATATCTAGCCTCACCTGTCATCCCCTGAACACCAGCTGCCTGGATCTATGGGAATTCCTTCCACAGAATCTGCCATGTTCTTTGCTTGGGCAAGTTCTACTCATATTTCCAGACTCAGCTCTAATTTTATCACTTTTTCTTGGAGTCTTCCCTCACCCTGTTATCTGCACAGAGACAGTAATATACTGCTCCAGGTCACACAGCAGGTCAGCCAAACTTGAATTCAGGCTCCAGAATCCTATTACTAACCAGAGTTAATGTTAGCCCTCTCTGTAACCTGGCCAGTGTGCCCCAGGGGCATGTGAGTTTTGAAAGCAGCCCCTACACCCCAACTGTCTTTAGCCCAGTGCCCAGCATAAGGCCAGACATAGTGTCTGATGATTGCTACATTGTTCTGAGACAAGAGGATTAAGGACTAAGAGGGGCCACACTGGGGTTTTTCTTGGGAGGAACACAGAGCAGGGGCAGGGCCAGAAGCTGGGAAATCCTACCTGTCTGATCAACAGCAGGAAACTGGTCTGGGTATGCCCCCCTCAGAAGGACGCGGCATCTTGTGGCCCATAGCACATGTGAAGCAAGAAGTGTAAGGGACAAAGTATGTGTGTAGCCTGACTCCTGAAACAGAAAACTTGCCACCAAACCACTTAGGATCCCAAGGTGCTAATGGCATAAACTGGAACCCCTGCCGGCCCCTGCATCCTATGCTCAGAAGAGTCTCTGTGAGTCAGTCTCTTTATGAGTACGTTGGGGCCAGAGTTATGGCTCCTGTGGCCCCTGCAGCCAGTCAGCATCAGAAGGTCCTCTGCTCCTTTTCAGAGAAATTGGAGCCTCACGATAGGACCCCAAGCTTCACCAAAATGTGTATGGCAGAGCAGTAGACCCTTTGATTCTTCCAGACCTCTGTGGCCAGGAAACAGGTCAAACCTGCCCACAGCCTGCCCTGCAACAAGGTTCTTCTCTGTGTATGCACTTGGGTTCAGCAGAGATCCCCACACCCCTCCTCATGTGAGTAGCAGGAACTTGAATCAGACTGTACATCTGAGCAGCCTGGGACTGGGCCTCTTGGGAAACAATTTCATCTGTTGTGAAACTCAAAAAGGGAAAGACAGTTGGTGACAACACTCCCTGCTCCATCCCCTCCATATTAGACTGGACCGCTCAGGAATAAGCCTCACTCGAGCCCTGCTCATGCGCAGCACACACGTGTTCGAGAAGCATAACCCAGTTGCTTGCCAGTCAGGTTTGATTGCAAGTGGGAAACTCGGACCCAGGCACTGCCAGGGAGTCTCAAGGGGTATGAGGCAGATGAAGGATCATTCACACACCCACCTCAGTCACGATGGTGGACAGGTAGATGTCCTGACTGAACTCCCAGCCATCCAGGCAGCTCTCCTGCTCCAGTTGCTCCAGATCCACATCGCGCCCCGGCTCCAGCCCCAGTGCCGAGAAGTTGGCGATCTCCGCCAGCCGGTAGCGCCGGCAGGTGTGAGGCACCTCGCGACCGTCCTGCAGCCGCAGCGGGATACTGTGGTTGCGCCACGCGCTGCTCAGGTTCGCGGTGTCGGGCACCCGGCAGCGGTGCTCCGGGGTGGCGGCCAGGAACACGACTGACATTCCATTGAAGCCGTTGGGGATGATGCTGGCGCTGAGCAGGAAGAAGATGAGGCGCTGGAAGGGCCCCCACTCGCCCAGGAAGGCCGTCACCTCGTCGTAGTCCCGCATGCTTCCCACCGTCGGTCTGCCCCAGCAACAAGGGGTGCGAAGAGCGGTCCCCGTACCGAGTCGTGCAGCAGAGAGCGTTCCCCGAGGGTGTCAGAACGTTCTCGGAGTCGTGGAAGGCTGCGGAAAATTGGGGCCCACGACCGGGGAGGGTTCCCGGGAAACAGGCTGCGTGCGTTGGAACTCTCCCGGTCGCAAAGTTAGACGCCACTGGAGGCACTACGGACCACACGCCCATCTCGGCAGGGGCGGGGAGGGGAGTGGAGGGCGGCCGCGCGGGAGGGGTGGGGCTCCCCGCCGGCTCCGCCTGGTGCTCCGCCCCCCTGCCCTTGCGACCCCGCGCCTGAGCCGCCCTGGGCTCCCAGCGGCCCGGTGAGGCAAAGCTCCGCTCCCTCGCACCCTAAGTCGCCCGCGACCCCAAGTGCGGAGGTCCCAGGCCGAAGCTCCGAAGGGGAGAGCGGGCGAAAGGCAGGAGCCGAGGCCGGACAGCGAGGTCTTGGAGAAGTCGGCCCTTGGCCCTCTCCGTGGGCGTCGCTCCAGGCCTCTCCTGAGGCAGGGGTCTCTCCGTGCGTGGCCCTTCCAATCCTGGTTCCGAGTTCAGGTGTCCTCGGGCGCCGCGCGGACGGCGAGTCCGTGGAGTCGGTGCTCAGGAGAAGCCTCTGTGAGCGCGTGGGTGACAGGAGTGCGACCTCTGCGCTGGCACCAGGCTGACAGGGCGCTCACTCCCCACCCGTCCGAGGACGAGGACGGCCGGACTCAATCACCATCCCGCGCTGCTCCGGAAAGCGTCTTCTGGCCAGCCTGGAGCTTCACCTTAAGAAAAGGGGGGAACAGGCCCAGAGCCCGGAAGGGATGAGCAAGGTCACACTGCGTCAGAGACAGGCGCTGAGGAAGGGAGGTAGGGGACAGGGGCTATCGGGTCGGTCCAGGATCCCGCTGGGGTTTCTAGAGGACTTCTAGAGGACTTCAACACGAAGTCTGGCCCTGTGTGAGAGCGCAGTAATGGAGGCGCTCTTGTCACCACCTCTGGGGTCTGATTTGGATCCCTTCATTCTCCCCATGCCCCCGGGGCTCTTTATTGGGGCTGACTGCCAGAGCCTTCTTGGACTGGAAGGCCTTTGGGTTGCAGAAGGGACCGCCCCCAGTCCAGGAACGGAGAGAGGGAGGAGGAGAAGGTCTAGTTTGGCCAGGGAAACCAGAGCAGGGGCCTCAAATAGTTCAGTGCCTGCCAAAGTCCCCCTGCTGTTGTGTGAACTAGCCCGGGGCTGTGGTCTGAGTCCTGGGGTGCAGAAGGCAGGCAGATGAGGTTGACAGGTTCAAGGTTCTACCTTTTTGGAGATTGTGTGCAAGTGTGTTTGCTTTCCAGGTCCTTGTTAAGTGGCTGAGGGACATTTCTGCCTCAGTTTATGTAGTTTTCAGTCTAACCCCTCCTCTTAGGCTGGTTTCTCATTCCTTTTCTCACTCCCTTAGAACCTGTTTCCTTTCCTTTTTTTTTTTTTTTTTTTAAGCTTATGTTTTTGAGAGAGAGAGAGAGAGAGAGAGGGACCAGGTAAGGAGTAGAGGGAGAGGGAGAGAGAATCTTAAGCAGGCTCCATGCCCAGCATAAACCTAGTGCAGGGTGCAGGGCAGGGCCCCAGCTCAGTACCTGTGAGATCATGACCTGAGTAGAAATCAAAACTCCCACACTTAATCGACTGAGACACCGAGGTTCTCCTCCTGTTTCCTTTTCTGTAATGAGACCATATGTCCTGATGTGCTAGGACAGGTCTGATTTATGCATGTTAATCCTGCAAAATTATTAATAGCACATCCCTTTACTTCCAAAAGTATCCTTTAAATAATATTTTATGTGGCCATTGTGTTACTTAGCTTGAATCTCATCCTTCCTCCTCTCCCTCAATATAAAAGCAAAGCCTGAGATAGGAATTTATGTGAAGATGGTTCATTTTGAGCAATGATCCCAGGAAAAGGAGTGAGGGACTCAGAAGAGTGAACAGGAAAGAAGGTAAGGCCAGAAAAGACTGTGTAACCGAGGGGTTATTGGCACCAGGGTCAGTGATTATGCTGTGCTGAAACATTGGATCCTGAGGCCAAAGGAAAAAAATTAGTAATACTGATGCTAATCTTTACTTTGATCATGGATTTTTATATTGATTTTGATTTTTTTAAATGCTATATTAAAATATTATTTCTTTTGATTATGGAATTTCTTGGTGCCCCTTTAAATTTTCCATCTGACACAAGTGCCTCACTAGTTTCACATTTGCCTCAGCCTTTCCCCAAACCTCACTGCTATGGGTGACAGAGATCCCAATGGGACCTTCTAAAGAGCCATATGGAATGAGGAGGCATTTGTTTCCCAGTTCTGGCTCCATTAGTTAACTCCTCTGCACTTCTAGATTGCACATGTGTGACAGCTGAACAGGTTCCACCCAAGTAAACTGTTTGACACTGCCCATCAGCAAATGTAAATCCATACCTTGAGCCATTTTGCCCCCCATACAAAATAAATGCCCAAGCGCACTACTTAAAGGTGCACCCACTGAAAGGATTTCCCTTCACCACTGTCTAGGGCCAGAGTGGGGCTTTGTTTCAGTAAGGATCCATTTTTTGGCTAGCATCGAGCTAACCCGTCTGTGAGTGAGGGCTGAGTATTTTTCCCCACTATTATTTGGTTGTAGAGAATCACCCCCACAAGACCAAAGTTTGAGCTGAGGGGAAAGGACTGGCATAGCTGAGGTAGGTGTCATAGGAGTCTGAGCCACTTGTTCGTAAACTTACATGAACACCGTGGACCTGCTCAGTCCTGTCACAATGCTACCATTTCTATTACATGATGAATTGCCAATGTGCCTGCTCAATGTTGTAAGTTGATAGAATTTGGCAATACTCAGTTAACAGACATCTCTAGCTGTACAGACCCTTGATGTCCCACTGCCAAGCATTTAGTTTTTTACTGTGGCCAAATAGCTGCTTTTCTAAAGACAAATAGCTTTCTGCTGCAGAAGACATGACCTTGCCCTGGAACTCTAGAGATCTGTACTGAAACCCTTTTATTAGAGCTTGTCAGAGGCTCTACCCAGCATCCCAGCATTCTTATCACCATGAGCACCATTGATTCTGCTGGGTCATATGGACAGAATAGTAAGGAACCTTGTACTATAGTTGTACACACTGTAGAGCTCTCTCTTGCTCTGGGCTTCACTCAGAATTGGGAGCCTTCCAAGGCACTCAATAAATGGATCAGAGTAGTATTCTCACCAAGCACCAAGTCTTTATTAGTGGTCGAGGGTACAGGGTACAACAACTTGACTTAACCTTATAGGGGATTGCCTGGCATACTCCATACTACTGGTTCCCCAATAATTTTACCAATTTGCTTCAAAATACTATGGGATAGAAGAAGCAAATGAGGGTATAGATGAAATAGAATTGGCCATGATGGTGGATCTAAGGGTTTATTTTCTAGTTTGTTTATTTTTATGTACATTTAACTCATTGCAGAACAAAAGGGTAAGAGAAAAATGTTACCAGTGTGGAAGGCCCTGAATCTTCATACTTTTTATTTCTCAAATTCTGGCATGCATGTGTCTTACTAGGACATCTAGAGTACTTGATTATTCTTGCTCATTAGGTCATATTAGCATTATGTGATCAATTATGGACTATCATGATGTTTTAGGGAATATCAATATAATCAAAGTCACTAAGTACTATATTATGACAGAGAGCATGAGAATTGACATAGTTCAGGGGCAAGAAAGTGAATATGTACTGCTATTCATGCCACAGAAAAGCAAATAGCTTTTGATACTCTTACTGAGGGATTTTGAAAAGAAAATCTTTGGTGTTGGTGCTAATTCTTGCAGCGTCTCCCAGGATGTGGTATTATTTCTGATTTAATAAATTTATCAAAAATGTGGGCACATTAGAGGCTTCTAGTTGTCCCTACATACCCTAATGGCTCTTAGTTATTAGGGCAGGAAATAAATATTAGGGTCTTGCCAGCTGCTCAGCATAGCTATCCCAGTTATGCACTTAGGGACCACTACACTATGGATCTTTACATCTGTTAGACCTGTTTGAATGAGAACTCTGTTTACCACCTGGCTTTCAAGAGCCTCCAATCTAACTGGGGGACCATGATGGTGTTTCCCAACCCTTGGCATCAATGCTAGCTCATACTCTTGAATCCTTTGAAAGGTCTAGGACTTTCCCTTTCTCCAGGCCAGAGTTGATCTGGTAAAAGATCACTGCTATGAACAGAACTATGTCTCCCCCAAATTCATATGTGGAAGCTCTAATCCTCAATCATATTTGGAAATGAGCCTTTGGGAACTAATTATGTTTAGATGAGATCATGAGGGTGGGGCCCTTATGATGGGATCAGTGACCTTTTAAGAAAGAAACACTGGAGAGCTCACAAGAAGGTGGCCATCTACAAGTCAGGAAGACTCTCATGAGGAACTGAATCCACCAGCACCTTGATCTTGGAGTTTCCAGACTTCAGAACTGTGAGAAATAAATTTCTGTTGTTTAGGCCTCCAAGTCTGTGGTATTTTGCTATGGCAACCTGAGTGGACTAAGATAGCCACAGATCCTTTGTGGGAAGAGATTAGAGAAATAATTTTCATATATACTTTTGGCAGTATAGGTTGGTTTTTCCTTAAGGAGAATTGGCCTTGTTTTCAATCAATAGGCTTGGAGCCTGTGAACTGACCTATATCTGGGAAATTTATGAGAAAAAAACTATTTTCCATTATGGCACCACTTCAGCCTTCTGCTCACTAGCTCTTGATTTTGGAGGTGAGATTGTTACACAAGGAACACCTGGTTATCTTCCCATTTATTTAAGTCCTAGGGACACCATGGTCAATTAGCCATCACCACATAGCTATAGGCCAAAGCATGCTGATTGCTACTTTGGTCTTGTAATGACCTCCACCCTGCCCCTGTTGATTGTGTCACTATTCAGCCTCTGCTATTCTAGAAGCTTATCCTCACTGACACTAGGGGTCCTCACTTGTGCATTGTGTATTGCCTTAGAGAAGGGAGTCGCCCGCTGTACTTGCCTTGGGAATGCAGTCTGATGATAGGTTCTCTGGTCTTGCATGATAAATATATGCTCACTCCCCTCAGCCTTCTGACTCCTTTCATAGAGTGTCAAGAAAATTCTGGCTTCTCTACCTTATTTCTGTAGGCCATAATTGTGTCCAAGTGTCAAAGAGCCCTCTTTGACCAAAGGAAATGAAGGTGTTTTTCTTCATCCTTGTTTGGATGTTAAACCCAGAAGAATGAGAGAGTGCTCCTAGGTTAATAAAGTCCCACATATTACCCCTGTTTCCACCCAAACACAGGTCTTGTTTTGTTTTTTTTTTCAGCGTGTATGCCGTTTCCTTGTGGATCAGGGATCATACTCTCCCACCTAGGCTGTGCTGAGACTTCACCTTGGTTGTTGGTCTGGAGGCAGTTGGGGGGTGGGGGGTGGGCAGGGAAGGATCTTGAGGAGGATAAGCATCATCTTTGGAGCTACTTGCCTCAGGAGGAGTCTTGGCAGGATTCCCAGATAGGAAAGCTACTCTCCTATAGCAAGGGGAAGAGAGCTGCTGCTGTTGACCTTGAAGATTTAGGGAAATCTAGGAATTCAAAATTCTCACATTAATTTACCCAAATGTCTCTATTCTGCGTTCCAGGATCCTATGCATTTTCTTTCAGGGCCATCACTTTGTCACAGGAGATCCATCTAAACTGTAAAGGCAGCCTTTTGATGTGGCTGTCCAACTCTTACAATTAAATCAGTTTAATCCCGGTTTTGATTTCCAGCACAATCTTCCCTGTGGCTGCAGGAGATGAGGGTCTCTTTAGGAACTGCCATGGAGACTTCCTGGCTTACACAGTGTGCCTTGAGTTTATAGTTGCCTGACTTGGGCCTATCATTTTCTTTTTTCAAGGCTTCTAAAGCACTTAGCAAAAGCTAGTCAACTCTTTGATCCTTGTAATCACCATTGTCCTCATGAATTCTGTGTGCCATAATTGGGGTTTCTCAACCTTGGCACTATTGAGGTTTTGGGAGATAATTCTTGTTTGTTGTGGGGGGGCTGTCCTGTGCATCTTAGGGTGTGTAGCAGCATCTCTGGCCTCTACCTACTGGATGTCAGTAACACTGCCCTTTAGTTGTGATATATCTCTAGACAGTACCCTGGGGAGGGAGTGGGGAGTGGGGCGGGGCGGGGAGGGGGGTGTTGGGTAAAACTGCTTCTGGTTAAAAAACACTGATACAAGCCAAATGTTTCATTTTTCTACTTGTATGTCATTCTAATCTACCATGGATAGGAGTTTTGCATTCCATGCCGGGGATTATTACGAGCCTACTCACTAATAGTTAAGTGACTCCTTAACCCTGTTTGATAGGTGAATGTTCCAGTTGTAGAATCCCTCCCTTGCATGTCTGCCTTCTATTTGGGAATGGATCTACGAGAACAGGAGTAAAGGACTGCAGAGGGTGACAGAGGGAAGAAATGCAACTGCAAGTGTACAGCATAGGGGTGTTTACGGTTGTGGGAAACTGGAGGAACGTGTCTCAGAAATGTCTTTCTCAGGTTCAGAAGTAGGCAACATTTATCCATAGGTTTTGATCCCTTCTTGGCTCAGGGGTGCCCCTTCGCCTGCTGAATGCCCCACACTTCCAGATTGCACATGCGTGAGTGTTGGGCAGGTTTCTGTGTGTGTTCCACGCCTCAGTGTCAGAGAAGTCCAGGAGCACCACGTGAGAAGTGAGATCGGGCCACCTCAGAAAAGCTGGCTGCCGCTTCAGTGCCTGCAGTGAGCAGTGGGCCTGGAGGATCTGAAGCTGAAAGAGGAGGTGCCGTGTTTGGTCATCCTAGTCGGAGATGACTGGGGAGGATGCAGCCCGTGTGGCTCCTCATGGGATGCTGCTCAGGAGCATGAGAAAGGTGGGCCCTGGCTGCCTCATTAATAGAATGAACTCCTGCTTCTGCTGGTTCT